GGCCATACGAAACTGTAACCCTGATCTACACATCTTGTTCCTACGGAGAGCACAGCTGGGGTATGATCAAGTACATACGGATGCACGGGATCTGGCAATGCGGACAACTTGACATCAGCAACCTCATTAGCCTCGGTCGAACCATTGGCTGTGACTAAGGAAATCGGATGCTCGGCTGCACGGCAGTTCTTGGCGCTAACATCCCTCAACATACCCTTGGACACAAGATCAGATTCACTACCTGAGTCGACAAGCCAACTAACGCCGGCCTTTGGCGCAGCTGTGGCAATTGACGGGAAACGACCAATGTCTCTAAGAGCTTTGGGACCGCTGATGAACCTGCACTCTTTGCATGTGATGTCACGTGTGTCCTCATTCCAACAACAAAACCCACAACTAGGTGCAACATCTGAATCATGAAGTTTCACAGTTTCTTGAAGCTGTCTTGCACGAACCTGAGCCTCATGCTGTTCAACCTTGGATGAAACTGGAACATCTTCAGCTGTCTTGTACACCTTAGTGAACTCTCTTGGACGGTGCTTGACTGGGACTTGACGACCAACTGCTTTCACCTCGATCACATGTGGGGCCTTTCGGAATCTAAGACGCTTCATGCTGACACTTGACTCATCAGAGCACGAAGTTGCCTTCGGCTGTTTTCGGACGATGCATGCAAACTTCTGGATCAGGCATGGAGCGGCTGTGGAATCCTTGCTCTTCTTCTTGGGAGCGGGTGAATTGGCCCTTTTGGTGTCTTTGGTGGCGGCAGCGGCTTTGTCATCATGCTTATAAAAACATTTGTCACCACGTCTGCACTTTCCCTGGGCATGATAGATACATGGGGTTTTGGCCATTTCTTCCTTGGACATCTTCTTCCCCTTATCATCTTTATTGCCCTTTGATGGTGAACGTGTTTTGGTTCTTCTGGGTGATTGAGTTCGAGATTTGTCATCTTTGACATGCTTGAATGGACACTTCTTCCCCTTATCACAGGTACCCTTTTGGAACTTATAGCAAATCTTGTCACCTTTGCCACCTCGTTCCTGCGATCTACCACGACTTGGAGAGCCCTTTCGGCCACCGCGACCATCGCCTTTGGCAGGTGCGGCCTTTGTGTCCTTGATCCCAGCCTTGTTCTTCTCCGCGATGCGGTTCCTGTTCTCCCTCAATCGTTCACGATCGATCAAGTTCTTCATGGATTGGTGAAGAAAACTATAAGACTTTTCATGGGATTTCTCATGTGCACGGTCAAACATCTCGATGTCATATTTCAGCAACTGACTTGGTCGGATCTGCCTCAACAAGATGTCCCTTAACACAGCATCATCGGGGGTGACAGCCATGCCAGCTAGGGTAGCATCCCATTTGTTGATAAATCTTCGGAGATCCTGGACAGTATCGCCTACTTTGACAACACCCAAAAGATCTTCTACTCTGTAAAGGCTACCTGCTTCTTCTGATGTCTTGAAGTAGTCCTCAAACATGAGCAGAACATACCTTCCCCTGACCTGGATGCCTTTTCGGGATTGCTGCTCCTTGAAATTCAAGATCCTGGTTGCGAGGTCCCCTCCGGCTGAGCGTGTGAGCGCTGCTGATAACTTTGTATCCAGCGTGAGGAACTTTCCAGGATCCTGGAGTTTCTTCTCCAACTGCTCTCTGGTGCACTCTTGATCGTACACCTCGTTGAGCCAGAGCCATGCCTCATCCGGGCGATCTGAACAGCTTTTCACTTCATCCCTGACATGATTCTTCCAAGTCCTATACGACTCCGGAGCGGGCATGTTGTTCAGCTTGATGATTTCGGCCTCCTTAGTTTTTGGCTTATCCTTCTCTTCCCTTTGGGTTAAGGCTTTCACCAATTCAATAAGATCTGAGGGACCCATCACTTGCTGTTGCTTGGTTACGCTCTTAGGGGAGTCATTTGGGGGAGTTTTGATAGCTTCAGTGGGAGTGAAAAACCCTGACTGCGTTGGCAATTGGGGCTGGTCGTTGCCGACAGCCGGCTTTTGCTTGGGACTGCCACCTTTGAGCAGCTCATCCAACTTGGCCTTTGCTTCTTGTGCCAACACTGCAGGCGTTTTCAACTCATGAATCGGCTCATCACTGCCTTTGGCAGCCTGTGCATCGGATGCTTTGGGGGTGGCAATATTGAAGTGGGGCACGCTAGTGGTAGCGGCCGGCTCAGCGTTCTGGACGGATGCTCTCGGAACGGAGGCATGCTGCGCTTTGGCAACATGCTTTAACTGCTCCTGAAGGTCATCGATTTGGTCCTGAAGGCTAAGGTTCTGAGCCGCTGCCTCGTTGATCTTGTCGGCCATCTCCTTCTTGTAGTTCTCGAACTCGGTCCTCAAACTGATGAACCTGGCCTGATCAATTGCAGCCTGATCTTCATATTGCTTCTTTGTGGCAGCTATGGCATTCTTTGCATGTTCAACTGTCTGTGCATAGGAAGCTTCGAACTCACTAGTGATACGTTGCCTTTCCTCTGCAATTTTCTGATCATGCTTTGTGTTTGCCTCTGCCTTAACATCCTCTATTCTTTTGTCATGCGATGCCTGAGCCTGATTCAACCTGACCTCCAACTCATCGCCTCGTTTCCTCTCCTCGTTGACGGCACTAATGGCCTTACCTTCAACCTCCTGCAGCCTTTGCTCATACTCCTGCTCTTGCATTACGAGTCTACTTGACCATTCGTTTCGAATTGAGTCAACTACTCCGTGCATTATCTGAAGGTGCCTCTGTTCAGCTTCCCTCATGACTTGCAGGGTATTCCCACTAGTGATCTGGGACAGGTTGTTTTGTATGAAGGTAAAGTACGCTACAACGGGTTGGAACATTGTCTCGTCATCCATCGGCTCGGGGTTGCCCCCGGCCACATTGGGCACAGCGATAGCCGATGGACCTGACCCTGGAACGGCGAGAGGATGGTCAATTGGGGTCCCCATAGCAAAGTAGTGAGACTACGGCTGATAACCTGTATTTTACCAGGTCAACCGACAATGGGGAAATACTACAACAAATCCGCTAAGCTCTCAGCTCTTTTTGAACCAACGCTTCAGAGTAGATCGATGACATATATTATACATGGTTTTACTGCAGGAGTTTTTACAGATTGTGTTTGTTTATGACTACATTAGGTTAGATTAGATTTAAACTAGACTAGGTTAGATCAAAACTAGATTGGGTTAGACTAGATTGGAACAGATTAGATTATGGCATTCATCTTGGTGCTTCCTCATGCATAGCATAGCATGCTTTAAACTGCTGTGCCTGGCTAAACTTGATCCTGCCTGATACCTTCACCAAATCCTCCTCCGTGCAAGTATTATCCATGACGATCATTTGTATCCAATGGCATTTATCTCAATGCTTCGGGGTGCGTAGCGTGTGTTGGGGAGTCATTTTTGGCTAAGTTCCAGTTCGTTTGATACCTGCACCAATTCTTGCAGCGTGAAGGTATCATCCATGACAATTTTATGTCGGCAACGGTGTTTTTCTTTACGCTTCAGGATGCGTTGCCGCTTATTGGACTGTTATGCTTGGCTGCGCTCCATCCCGTTTGATACCTTCAATCTTGCGGCGTGAAGGTATCACCCATGATCATTTAACATTTTGTGTGTCAAATCGCGTTCATATTGGCGCTTCTGGATGCATAGCATGTATTCGACTGCTGCGTTTGTCAACATCACATTGCATTGCATTACACTGTCATTACATTACGTTACATTCACAACAATCACGGTGAATGTTATCTTGTATATCTGAGTGCGTGGGCATGCGAACGCCTGGTCGCAGATGAAACCCAGCAGCTGGATGGACGCAGCGGGGTTTGAGCCCACGGAGGGGAGGGCGGGGGGCAAACGTTCGAAATGATTCATGTCCAACAACGGCGCCCCAAAACCAGTTCGACATGAAAATCATCCCGCCGGGTGGGTAATTGAACGTGGCGGCGTTGCCCTTTGTGATGCTTGTGGATTCTGTGTCGTTTTGCGTTTTGCAATGGGTTTCAGTTCTTTTTGTCAAGTTTGCGTCTCGTTTCCATTGGTTTTATTGTTTTTTCTGTGCGCATGCCATCAAAGTTTGACATTTCATCCCCTACTCTATTTTGGGGGGGGTCATTCACAAAGTGACAGTGTGGCGATGGTTTTGGCACATGAAAGCGGCTATTTTTCTGCAGAGCTGGTGACATCAGTTTGGTCACATCTGTGCCAAGATCTTGCCAGTCAGATACATGAGGAAATCTACGTGTTTCGGGGATTCCCAGCACCATGGCCACGACCGGACATATGTGCACATGGCTTAGTTGGAAGATAACTTACAAGACATGCTAGCGTAGGTGGAAGTTGATAGAGAAGATAACAACGTATATAGTTAGAAGATGTCTTAGAAGAAGAGATGCTAACGTAGCTGGAAGTTGGTAGAGAAGCAGTTGGAATGTCAAAGAAGTTAGTAACGTAGTTGGAAGTTCTTACTACAAAGAACGTTAATACCCCACCCCACCCCGTGCAAGATTTCAGAGAAATCAATAACGTAGTTGAAAGTTCTGACTACAAAGGACGTTAATACCCCACCCCACCCCACCCCGTGCAAGATGTTAGAGAAGTCAATAACGTAGTTGAAAGTTCTGACTACAAAGGACGTTAATACCCCACCCCACCCCACCCCGTGCAAGATGTTAGAGAAATCAATAACGTAGTTGAAAGTTCTTACATGTTCTTACTACCAAGGAGGTTAATACCCCACCCCACCCCACCCCAAGATGTTACACGTTCGGTTGTCCACCCGTAGGCAAAATCGTGGAGGCTGTATGTATCCAGTCTGCCCCCAATGCATTGCTAAAGCAAACCAAACTCCAGCTAGCAAGCTAGCTTTCGTGATATGACCATTTCATGAATGCTTCTTTGGCACTGAGGTTGGAATTCGACACAATATGACACACCCTGTGCACGTGTACAAAGGCCAAAGGATGATCCAGTTTCAGTTTCCTTTGAGGTCTGCGCTGATGCCAACCTTCTCAGTGCAAGTGGTACCTCAGCACACCGAACTCCGCAAAGCAATGACATGACAACCAAAGAAGCTATATAATCGGCTTTCCACTTTGTCCACCAGCCTTCTACCACTCACAATTCACGTCTCAGAAAAACGTGAAGCTGGGCTACCCACGAGGCGTCAATATGATTTCTGAGAGGCAATCCTTCACTAACTTCACTACGCATCATTACACACAGCTTTTTACCAAGGATTGCATCAAGTACTTCAAGCACTCATAATGCCCAGTACTTTCCTCGCAGTTCTCGTTGTCATACATGACCAAGCGCCCCTGATTATCGTCGCAAACGTCTCCCAAAAAAGTCTGAAAATGTCTCAGAGGGGGTCATGAGAGCTTGTGACACTCACCGCTGATTAGTTGTTCCGTATCGTTCGCACCTTCATCAACCTATCATAACTTGTCCACGAAATGCATCGAATTGCCTTATCACCTTGCTGAGGTTGAAGTTCACAATAAAGCACCTTGAAGCTGGTCACAAAGCTGCTACAAGTTTTCATCCAAGGGCAAAGAAGACGGAGACTTTATATATATATCTGTGTGTGTGTATGTATGTATGTATGTAATGTAATGTAATGTAATGTAATGTAATGTAATGTAATGTATGTATGTATGTATGTATGTATTAATGTAATGTAATGTAATGTTATGTAATGTTATGTAATGTTATGTAATGTTATGTAATGTTATGTAATGTTATGTAATGTTATGTAATGTTATTGTATGTATGTATGTATGTATGTATGTATGTATGTATGTATGTATGTATGTATGTATGTATGTATGTATGTATGTATGTATGTATGTATGTATGTATGTATGTATGTATGTATGTATGTAGTATGTATGTATGTATGTATGTATGTATGTATGTATGTATGTATGTATGTATGTATGTATGTATGTATGTATGTATGTATGTATGTATGTATGTATGTATGTATGTATGTATGTATGTATGTATGTATGTATGTATGTATGATGCATGCATGCATGCATGCATGCATGCATGCATGTATGCATGCATGCATGTAGGTAGGTACGTGCACTTCATGTTCCCGTGTTCAAGATGTTCAAGAGACTTGATGAGACTTGTCTTTCCTTGTGGCCTCTGTCCCAATCTTGGGGCGCAGCAGAGACGGTGTTGGAGTCATCATGGTGTGCTAAATACCCAGCCTTTCAAGCAAGAGCTTGTCTGCAAAATAGGCGCAACCACAAAAATACAGTCGTGTCTGCGAGGCGCGTGGAATCTTGGCGTGTGTACATCACAGCGGTGACATTGTGTATGATACGGACGGCTGCGGGAGCTTTTCATAGAATACACTATGCACTTTCAGTTTCGCTCGGTCAGAAAGCTATTCCCAGCTGCCCACCATGATGCGTCGGCTTGTGCGAGGCACCTTTGAGATAGCATAGGCTGACGCTTGCCAAAACTACAGGATGAGAAAGTATTGAAGGACAATCATTAAGAGATAATTAGCAGATTAGTTGCTAGATAGTCAAGGTATGTCAAGGTAGCAAAGCCAAGAAAATGCAGTGCTGCATCACTTCGTGCCCACTTGGCCACACCAACTTTCTGTCCACACTTGGGTTCAAGCGCTCGCCAGAGGCCTACAGCAAATTTGGAAGCTGGGAAATAGTGATTGAGTGACCTCAGGCAGAGGGTCAATGCACACTTCAGTCTGCCAAACCCTTGCAGGACATAGCAGGATGGGTTGGTTTCTTGATGCTACTTGTTCAGTTTTTCGCTGCATCTGAAGTCCGAACCAGCCGGACGGCTCTGGAAATGTCCAAGACCTCGCGAAAAGTCAGGTAGAAACCCACAGTCCGTTGGTTTTGAGACGTCATGATGTTATAAGAGCGATTGGGCTGAACCTTCACCCAGTAGCTAACATGCACAAGTACCAAAAAAAAAAGCACACTGTGAGCCCTGCTAGAAACATATTTGGCAGCCTGCACAGCGACAGCAGGCGTGACGGTGAAACGCAAAAAGGCTGCAAGCAAGGCCAGCGAAGCAAAGCCAGGCTCGCCCAGAGCGAAGTGCAAGGCAATGAAAAGAGAAAGATGACGAGATGAACTGTGCAGTACCGTGCAGCAATGCGGAGCTCATACCATAAAGAGCGTTGCAGCAATTGTAGAGCAGCATGCCGTGAGGTGAAGCTACTAAATTTTGCCATAGACAATGACAAAAGGCAGCTCGTCAACTGATCAGCTCGTCAGTACTCACCAAATTAGCAGACGCGGATCTCCAAGCTGAAGCAGTGGCAAAACAAAGAGAGGAGACATGATGATTTCTACCACGTATACCCAAGGCCGGCTTTCAATCCGCAGCATGGACTCAAGTTTCATCGGGATGATCTGGGACACGAAGAACATCAACATCATCACTACCTGCTTGTTTCTCGCACCAACAACCACAAGGGGCCAGGCATGGCCAAGACCAGAGATCAGGAAGACTGCGAAGCCAGAAAGATCTGCAGAGATGCCAGACTTGCAAAGAGGCCGGAAAACACCTTGAACGAGCATCCTTTGTACTGGAAGATTCCACTGCCGCCAAAAATCTCTGACAGTGCGGGATTGCCACAATCCAGGTCCGAAGATGGACTGAACTCCAAGCTGATTGAAGTAGGAAAGCAGGAACAAGTATGCCTGGTCAAAGGTGTAGAAGCCAAAGATCACACATCCAGCGCCAAAGCAGCAAACAAGCGACATGCAGGCAGCCCAGCCGGTTGCAACAGCAGCAGCAGGAAGGAAATGCACTGCCACGGCACAAATCACCAAGCCCAGCATTGCCAAAATCAAGTCATACAAGACTGAGCAATAGTGAGATTTGTGCTCAGCTGATTCCAAAACCTTCACCCTGTCAACATCGTGCCAACTAAGGCAGGCCATGTGGTAGAAGCGCCTCCAACGACCCCAAAGGCTTCCTGAAGCTGAAGAGCCCTCACTCTTCTCGCTCTTCTCAAGCCTCGACAGGAGTTGTAAGGCACGAGCTGTGACCAAAATGGTCGCTGCACTCTCTGCCCCTCCAATGATCAAGCCTGGTCCCTTTCTGCAAATGTCCATCCGAGGTAGAATGAATAGAGCCGCACAGCCAAGGCCTGTGCACATTCGTCTTTGCAGGAACTTCTTGCTTGGCACCAGGACGCACAAATTCATCCATAAGAGGCAAGCAGGCCAAAGCAGCACACCCCAGAATTCCCAAAAGGATTCTGCGGCAACGGCAGCTGCAACAAAGAGGCCCAGAAAGCTCAAAGAGAAGACTGTGACACCCAAAGTAGCTGCAGTTGGCGTTTCATAGCGCTGTGCCACCTGATCCTCAGTCTCCATCTTCATGGGTGAGGACGCACCAGCGCTAGGCGTTCGTCGAATGGTTACAAAAGCTGATCTGTAGATTTGTTGCTGGACCTGCACATTTTAGATTTTAGATGATCTGGAATGATATATCAATATATCAATATATCTGCATACCAGATTACTATTCCTGAAACAAGCCACCTGTGTGCGTGAGTGACTGCTGCCAAACTGCCACTTGCGCTTGATCCCAGCAGAGGCACGTCAGGAAATGATATCAGTTTTATCAGTTGTACGTAATGTTACTGTAAAATATGTTAAAAACATGTAAGGATCGCATCTGATTGCGGAATTTCAGGCGCTCAGCTGAGCATCCATGGCACTCGGTGGCACGGTTACTGGCACTGTACTGGCACTCAGTAGCGCAGTAGCGCAGTAGCGCATCTGAGTCAAAGCTTCGAACCCAAGCAGACCGCTTCTCTTCAGCTACACCTGGATCAAAGGTTTTCTCTCGCACCTTGGCACAGTTTCCAAAGGTGCAATGCACACGATCAACCAAAACCCAAGCAAGATGCAGCTTCACTACGATCGGCCATACATGTCACCACTTTTCCAAGTGTATGAGTGACGTTGAGTGACTAATTTAGCAAACATGCTTGTACATAATGCAAAATAATGTAAACATGCATGCATGTGATGTGTGTGTGTGTGTGCGCTTGTTCTGTATATCTTTTAAACCCGTCTTTTTTCTCTTTCTGTCTTTAAATTTCTGAATTCACCGAGCAGAGCATCTGTCGCATCTTTTGCTGTCAGCACTATGTAGTGCAATCTCAAGCGACTCGTGTGCTGAGGTCCAGGCCCCGAAGTAAAGGCAAACGCCATGGGTGAACATGGAGACCTCTGAACTTTTATCTTCAGACATATCTACAAATATATATATAATATATATATATATACATATGTGCGTATGTGTGTGTGTGAATTTATAGCAATACTAATAATAAGTATTATTGTCATTCATGATAATGATAATATCTACAATGTACATGTGCCTATACATATATAATCATAATATATATATATATAATATTACATGGTATACATCAATCATAATCAAGCACTGGATGGTACGAGTAAAGCAACAGTACAGCATGAGTGCAGCACTCAATACGTTGCAACCAGACACTACCTGACATGGCAGAAGCAGATCCGCCGGACGCCTTGAAGCAACGGAACTCTGCAAGGTTGACGCCATGACTGGTCGTTGCCTCGAACTACAACCCAAATCCCCGCTGCATACCATGTAGCATCAGGTGTGAAATGTAGTGAAATGTGAAAGCTGTATGCAAACTATGCTTCAATATGCTTAAATTAAATGAATTTAAATGATCTTAAATATTTCGACCGCCAGAAAGCGATAGACTGACAAAACACAGAGGGTTTTGACTTGACTTAGATTAAGCATATCCCCATATGGAATTTGCACTGAGTTGACCAAAAATACCACAGCATCACCAGAATTCACCAGAAACTTCGACAAATGTGTCATGAAGTGAACGGCCTGAAACTTGCAGTTGCGCACCATAATGAAGGGCACGAACGAGAAGGCATGCTGGCAAGAATGGTGGCCAAGGAATGCAAATGCTAGTGGCAAATTGCGGGAAATGTACTGGATTGCAAATTCATAGCAGAACAAGGAAAGTAGTGCAAAGACTTCGAGTGATCGCAACATGGATCAACCATGTGTTCCAGATTGTTCCAGATTGTTCCAGCTGTCCTCAATGCCTTTGTGTCTGAACTCAAAGCCATTTACCTCAGCTCATCTCAGTTTGACCGACTCGGGCATGATAGATTCACTATCCAGGCAAGGCAACCCGTGTTCACACTGCTTCAAAACTGTGTCGGTAGAACCCGCTGGGATCACTGAATATGCTTGAATATGCTTGAACTGAAAGCCAATTCATACTGCAGCCATGCGTTGTGCCAGGTGCACCACATAAAGCGAGACAGTGACCGACATCACCTGGCGCCGCGAAAGCAAGCCATGGCCCAACATGCCATCACATGCCATCACGTCCCATCACCGTTACCGCTCCATAACCTCATCGTCCGTTGAGAGCAGCCACAAGGGCTCCTCGCCTAGGCGCATAGTAACTGCAGCTATGTGCAGCTTAAGACTTCAGCGGGCATTGGCAAATTTAGCAAATTTGGTAAAATATTAAAAACATTTAAAAACATTTAAAAACAAGCATCGTGGCATCGTGTTTGCCCAGATCTACCAGGTCAGAGATGCGAATCCTCGCAGTGCTGGGAGCCCTTGAGCCATACTAAGCCCAGGGCGAATAGGAACTCCCCGCAGTGGTTGGCCAAGGCTTGCGTCGTACCTCTTCTCTTGGGCAATACGGTGCATCGCGACAGTTTTGGCAAACCGCAAAGCAGACCCAACAACTTCGGGAACATGTTCAACTTATTTCAACTTACTGCAATTTGTGCGAGGAAATCATGACTGGTCGTTTCATAAGGGCTATGAAAAACACACGTATATAAAACGTTGACCTCCTTCTCGTCTCAATCAGACCTGTGACCTGGTCAGTACGACAAGTCTTCTGCTTGAAGAATATTTTATAAAATATGCATGGAAAGTTTTCAAGCGGCTGCTGATGATCATTGATGATCTCGATTTGGGCGCGATTTCATACGGTAATTTGAAGTGATGCCTATCGCAGCATTGAGATGCTTCTGCTGCATGCACTTGCTTAAGAAATCGAATTTGCGTGCATGTACTTGTGATACTTATGCATAGGTTCCATACCATATGATGCCATAATATGCCATTGTAACGTGCATGATCGTGCATGTATGCAGCTGACACAACAGAGCCCTCTTTTGGCGCACGAGAGGACCTCGGGACATGTGCAGCAAGTGCAGCAAGTGCAGCATAAGTCTTTTGACTGCGTTCAGATGCGTTCAGATGCGTTCAGTGTGGACTCAGAATATCTCCAGGATGGCAATGAACAGCGGATCAATGAGATCAACGACTCGCGCCAACGCTCCTTGCACTCTGGGTGGCCTACGCCTTTCACGTGGGACTTCGGTTCCATTGGTTCCTGGAAAAAATGTTGCCAAAACATCATGCTACAATGCTACAGTCATTAGATTCCGAGTTAGTGTCTGATCTGTGCGTCAAACATGCTCTTCTAGAGCAAACCGGACTGCCCCCAATCTTGCATGCAAGTTTGTCACAAGGCATGGTCTTAAAATGTCAAATCATCTTAAATCCATTTGAACTTTATATATATAATTATATATATATATATGATCATGACCTCACACTGCCTGATGACAGTGCCATCGAGATTACCCCAAAGACTCTGCCGAAGTCCGACTCCTCAAGCTCGGCGCGCGAGTCATCTCCAAGGACCTCTGCAAAACTAGCTAACCCGCTCTAAATTCCAAAATGCACTATAATTCCAAAAAACGCTATAAGCATCTTGAAAATCTCAATCATCTTAGTAGCTCTTGAATGTCTGAAAGATATTGAAAGATCATGATCCGTGTGAGACTGATAAATACCAATAGTGTGTCCCCAGTTCTGCAGTTACCAAAGTGCGTTGACGGTCACATTTCCGTCCTTACTACTAAGTTTGTACCTTGCCGGTTCGTAGACATGCAAACTCCAGAATTACCAGTATTAGATTTTCATAGATTTTCTGTGGGATCTAACCGCTAAGGATCGCCAAAGCGCCTTCGGGTCAAAAGGGTCGTCTTTCCGAGTACCACAAATGCACCTGCGGGGTGGAACTTCACAGGTCGCTTCAATCTGAACATGTTGGCTTGCAGCGGCTTGCATTGGCATTCGACAATCTTCGACAATACAAGTATTGGACATATTGGGCCACTGGCATTGCATCTCGGTTTACGCTCGCTTTTTGCCGACCCAGGATGGTGCAAAGGCCTGCAGGAAAACGCCCCAAATGCCTGTCCACAAGGGAAGCTCGTTCCAATGAACAAGGTGAACTTCAGGTGAACCAGGTCGAAACGAGGTGTGGTGAATGCAGAAACTTTCGCCAAAGTTCAAAGGCAAACGCTTGTTGCGGCTATTTTGGTGACACGTGGTGACACCACTTTTGAAAATGTCAAAGCCACAGCTGTTTGGGTAGACCACTGGTGAAAATGCCGGACAAGATTCAGGACTCACATCCATGGCAATGACATGACTTGATAAAATGAAACACGATCTGCCCAGCTGGAGTCCAGATTCTTTCATCATCTTTCATCATCTTTCATCATCTTTCATCATCTTTCATCATCTTTCATCATCTTTCTAGATTGTCCATGGAACAATATGGAACAATATGGAACAATATGGAACAATATGGAACAATATGGAACAATATGGAACAATATGGAACAATATGGAACATGGAGTTCGTTCCAATTTAGAGCATCGGAGATCTCCGGAGTCCAGCTGGGGACTGCGTCACCACACTTTGCAGGCTTTAAAAAAAAAAAACAAAAGTGATCAAAATCCTGTACAAATTGTACAAGATCAAACATGCTCAAACACTGAAGCTTGCACCGTTCTTTTGGCATCCTTGACAGAGCCTGCAAAGAGCCTCATGACCAGTGGTTGTCACGGAGTCATGTTGACGCACTGTGCCGAGCACATGCTACAAGAAACTTGGTGAGACATCCAGGACTCTGGCATGGTGGGCATGAGCCACAACCTTCACCAAAACATACCAAAACCATCCAAAACCGAATACATTGGCCATTTCGGGAACAGAAAACCTCCATCCTTTGCCCGGACAAAAGAATGCGATTCAAGGTAAAGACACCATCGCGCTAGTTCGCGCGAGAAATAAAACACTGCGGTTGAGAGAGGCTGGTGACATCTTACGTCCACGCGTAAGGCCAAAATCCAAACGCGCGGCCACAGCCTTTCAAACTGCAGTGCCACATTCCAGCTGGCACCAAAAATGTCTGTTTGAAATAGGGGAAAGGGCAGCGAGCGATGCATGAATTAAATATCAGCTGTCCGCTGGGAAAGTGTACAAGTGGCGACTCAGAGTGTTATCAGGAGGCTTGGGCTCCTCATGCACAAGCACGAAGCAAGCAAGAAAAATGTGCTTTGAAATTCTACGTATCATGTTCTCAATGGATGCCGGCAAGCCACAAGCTTTGCTTAGGTTGATCTACAATATCTTCGTGAGGAGCTGAAAGCATCACCTTCCCGCAGGAACTTGTCACATCTTGTCAGCACATCTCAGAAACGAGACATGGCCATTGGGTCTCGTGAGATCTCATGAGACATGACTGGACTGCACGCATTGACTGCATGGGCTGGTACCCAACGCCTCCTCTTTTGGCGTGGAAACTCGCCAGTCCATGAGGTCACAGTAGCCTCGACACGAAATACGGTAGGAAAGATTGGGAAACGGTTGAGCATGAGCAGGAGTTTGGCTGGCTCACTGCAAGCCGCTCGCCCAGGGCTTTCTCTGAAGCCTGTACTTTCATTTCTCCATCTGGCTGAATCTAGATACTGTAGCCAGCTCGAGAGTTAAGCTTGATGCTGGCTTCAGGAAGAGGCTCCGCTGCAAAATCCTGCAAGAAATTGCAGATTGGGAAATTGATGGAAATCGAACATTGACAGCAGTATACAGCAGAGCCTTAGAGACAGCTAAGAAGTCCTGCGGAACGCTTGACCACACATCCAAAGCAGCAGAATCACTTGTGATCGTTGCTGCTCTTCCCTGGCCGACATCATACAGCATCATACAACATCACTCGGACAAATATGGACAGGCTATGTCAATCCAGTGGTTCGCAAAGCCGCCTTCCAATCAAAGGACAATAGCCCAAAAGACACAGACTTCAGCCCACTTCAGGATACAAAGGTCTTGAATAATCTTCAATCCAAGAAGTCTGAGATTCTCTTGGCAAAGTGACAGGCTTAAACTCGCCTGGCCTCCGAAACTGCAGAATTCATTGCCCCATCCATGGTGGTTTGCAATGACAGCTGCCCAGAATCGCCTGAACGCGCCTGCAGGAATTTGGAATCTGCTCAAGACCATTACGATATTCTTGGAAGCTACTCCCAAAGTAAGTTCTGCGGGTGCAGTGTGCTGACTGTCAAACTGAGACGTTTGCCCAAGCTTCTAGCTTGCTTTTTGGTGCCTAGTACCGGTGCTGCTCAGGCATAGCGTCAATGCAGACTCTTTTTGCATTTGATCTATATGATATATTTTTATTACAATATAATATATATATATATTAATATATAAAATATGAGGTACAGTATGTTTCCGGAAATTGCACGTGCTCTGTCATCCAGATTACGCCTTCAGAATCCTTCAGAACTGTCGTCCACAATTTGCATAGCACATGATAGGACTGCAAGAAATATGTGACTCAATTCTTGCATAGTCCTGCTACATGGCACTATTTTGGTGTCGATTCTCAATTCCAACTCTTTGCCATCGGTGCCTCCAGCTTCTTTTTGTCCTGCGCGAGATGCTCATGCTGAATCGCAAATGGCCAAAGATGACTCGCCATGGAATCGAAAAATGACAAAAATGGCCGTCATCGGAATACTGCAAGATTGACACCGTCCTGGAGAAGCACAAGGTGCGCATTCATCGCAGAGTCATCAGAGCTCTCAGAGTTGTACTCTGAATCAATCAGCTCTTCTGCGACTGAGGCAAGACTTTGACTAGCCTCGCGGCCAATATGTTCAGCTGTAGGAAATGGGTCAATCCAGGACTGCCTTCCTTCTATTCGAAGCATGGAAGCAAGATAAGGTGCAACATGTTTCAACCGTTTCATATCGTTTCATGCTCTTAGGCTACTTGATGCTGTTCAACAGAACAGCAATGCCGTCCGGTCCATAAAAAACTTACGTGTTATATTCTGTTATATACATATCCTTGCATTGCAAAAGCACGGCTTCAATTCAAGACTTAAGAGATCTTGATTTCTTTGGAGTGGTGGAAAAAACATGAAAAAACAAGTCAAGAGCGGCAGTCTCACCAAAAATGTGGCGCAAGACGGGCATGGCCCATGGCATCCGTGGGCATCCGTGGGCAGGATGCCACAGGATGCCACAGGATTCCACAGGCATCAGAAACTTATCAGAAAGGGGATGCTTCGCCTCAGCTTCAACTGCTTCCTTTGGTGCCTTCAAAGCCAAGTGAAGAAAGTCAGCGGACTTTGAAGGATAAATTCAATTGGTACTTAAATGGATGCTGATGCAATATAACACTATGTATAACGATATGATATACAATGACATACAATGATATACCATGTATATGAATCATTGTGAATCCATATGGTGCGATATGTTGAGCGATATGACACGATCATGAAAAAATGAACCAGTGTGTCACACAGTGACATATCTGTCCTGCGAGATCTCTAGCTCGACCACTTCGGTTCCTTCGGTGCCACTGATCTCATCTGGCTCCTTCGGTTTCTTCAGTTTCTTCTCATCTTCTGCATCCTTTCCTCCGATCTTCGCTTCTTTGTTTGAAGCCTTCTTTGCCATCTTAGAATCCTGACTGCTCTGTGCAGCTTTGGGAGCTGCAACCTTCATCATCTCCTTTCTCGCTTTCTCTGCTCTTTCTTTCTCCTCCCTTTCTTGTTGCCTGACTTGGACTTCCGATTGTCGGGGGTTGGCTTCACATTTCACTGCTCAAATAGGCCACGCACCTGTTCAAACAAAGCAAAGTACACAGATCTACACAGTTTGAAGCAAAGTTGCTTCTTTTTCCTGAACTCCGCTATCTTCTTGCGACGCTCCTGAGACATGTGGATATGCACCGGGAACATCACTCAAATGGGAACCCTGAAGAAACGCTTCACCAGCGTGAATTCCAGAGCCAAAGCACTCGCAGGCTTTCACTCAACAGGGTCAGCAATATAATATGTGTGGCGTTGTGTGGCCTGCTCTTCCTGCTGCTTTGCTGCGTATGCAGCTCCTTACATAAAATCAGCTGAAAACTTCTGGAAAATGCTACCGACATCGGGTCATGTCTCATGTGGATCCATCTAGGGCATTCGCGATTGGCCGCATCGTCAAATGGGTCTCCCATAGCCAAATTTTTTGCATGACGTTCCTGCGAGGGACCCCTGCAGAAATGAAATGGGAACTTGACCAGCTCAGGGCATAGTAGAGCAAATAAACACACGTTAATACGATTAATATCACATTAGCATCCAGAAAATTCAGTAAAGGCTTCAAACTCCTTGGCCAAACGCCCAGTTGGGTCACAAAGAGGTTCTTTCATACCTTGGTCGCGGCAACGGGCTTGGTGCTCTCCCTGGAGAAAAAACTGAATGAAACGCAGCAACATATTGTAACATGTCTAAGTCATTTGAAGATATATATATATATTCATGCGTGTGTGGTTGTTTATTTATTTATCTATTGATTGATTGATTGATTGATTGTTTTACATGTTTATGTACTTGTTTATCTATTTATCTATTAGTTTATCTGTTTATTTCTTTATCTATTAATTTACTTATTTATTGACTGATTGATTTATTTATTTATGTAGTTATGTTATAAGTTATAAGTTATATATAATTATATATAACTATATATAATTCGAAGATCATTCAAGTGCTGTCTGGATTCTAAGGAGGTCTTCCAGGATCTCCTTCGAGAGGCCAGATTTCACCTCAATTCGGACAGTACGTGCAGCTTTGCTGAAGGGCTCCCGAAATCCAAAAGCCAAGCTGCCTTCATCAGCTTCAGCCTCTGCATTTTCACATGCATATGGTATTTGGAGGGACATGACTGATCTGGGCAGGACCAAGACAGTCTTCAGTGTCCTGTGCACGCCATGAACATCCATGGGCTAATTCAGATTGTCCAAGAGGCTGCTTCTCGGCACATTTCATCATGACTTCAAAAATCCGAACAGTGACACCAAGGCCTCCCGCACTGGAAGCAGCTCACAATTGCCAAATTGCGAAAAATGAAATGAAAATAATGAAAGTGTCCTTAAAAATATGAAACATATTGAATAAATTGGACCTGATAACTGATAACTATTGAGCAACGAAATCCAACAGCGTTTGCTTTGCGGCCTGTGTGAGCCAAGAACAAATCAGGCCCACGGTAGGCGGCACCGCCCCAAAGACCTCCTAGATAATCCACGGTGCGTTTCCTTGAGCGAATGGGCGAGATTTCGGCGAGATGCAATGATTCAAACGCAGTTGGAAAAGACAGGATACAACTGGTCCATCAGAGACCCTTCAAAGCTGTGCTCAAGCCTAATCTGCAACCCAATGTCTTCAGATTCTTGAGGTTTCGATTCTCAAAGAACTTTTTCGTGTCTTTGTCCTGCTGCCAACTGCGTGATTCACAGCAGCCTCAAGCACGCGAAGTATATACGCCATTGTAAAACTTTGAGAAGTAGCTGTAACAGCATGTAACAGGGGCCAAAAGTCGGAGAGAAGTACATAATGTTGAAGAGAATGTTGAAGTCACATACGAGTGCGATTCTGCATCAAACTTCCACATCTTCCAGACTCGTGTTTTCTGCATAGGTCCAGCCCACCCGCACACTGCCCAAGTCAGTCCGTGGCCATGAGGTCATAGAAGCCCTCTACAAACTTCTCCAGCGCCGATTGCCCACCAAGTCTCTCAAAGATACAATCTGGGCCGCCTGGCCAGGGTTTCAACATGTATCATCATGTTTCATCCTACCTGCTGTTCTCTTCAAGGGGTTGCCCCAACATAACAGTCACGTAAATGCAAAGAGACATCAAAATTACTATTGCATGCTATTGCAACTTCAAACTCTCACTGGCTATGTTTGGATATATTCAGTTCTGGTCCAAAGCAATGCAGAATGTGGTCACCTTAGTGAAGTGCCTTGAGCACGACTCAACACGACCACAACAAGTGAACACAAAATAACACAAGTATTCCAGTACAGTACCAGCTGCCTGCATTAGAAATGAAATGGGCTCCAACATTTGCCATCGCAATGTGAGCGAGGCTTTGTTGAAAAAGCTTGAGCAACAAGCAAACAACCCAGAGCTTTGCAACATGTGAACACCATCGAAGTGCATTGCTTTGCTGCGTGGTTCTGCTTTGCACTTTCCTATCTACCTTTTCACATTTGTTCGCAGCATTCAGCCAGGAGCATCTGCCGCCGCACAAGTGCGGAATGGAAAAGGCGTCCAACTGCGGAAGTTTCAGCAGATTTCACTGCACTTCCACACATCTTAAAATAGCTTGAACAATTTGAACATGTTTAACATCTTCAACTCTTCACAGGAGGATCAGCTATATTTGCTTGACCCTGAAAGCTGAGCTGAAAACACCGCTAGGCTCACCAACACCGCCAGCACTGAAGTTGATTGCCTGAAGTAATACAAGAGACATCAACAGATAGGAATCCACAAAGCAGCGATGCTATAACACCGATGGCACAGAATTATGAATCCCGACATGTCCACACAGTCTCACTTCTTCCCCTCAGTTTCCAACGGTCTCGGTCTCCCAGCATAGCTGCAATTGATGTCACAGGCAGAAAGCATCATCATACTTTTGCATGCTGCAGATCTTAGTCCAAAGGGTTACTCGTGCCAACACTGCAAGCAGACTTAACAAAGCGGTTCAAAAAGTTGTCCAGGGGGATGCGTCTTCTCAAACCTGCAGGTTCTGGCTATTTTATGGTAGTCCGTCTGACTGGGGTGAAATCCCACCGAGAGTCCAAATATTCCCTTCATGTAAGTGTAACTTCTCCCCACAGATTGGATGGAACAAACACCAGTCCCAGGAATATTGGCGCAAGCTCTGCCGTGTATCAAATTGAACTAGCAGTTGGACATGATGTCCAGGTGCAAACAGGTCAAGTGACAAATTGTGAGTGACAATGCGTATGTGGATGACTTTGCTCTTCCATGCCCTTCCCACTGATAGATTTGGGATATGTTGGGATCAAACTGCTTTCACATCCTCTGGGCTGCAGGGCAAGGTACTGGGCCTCAAAGCAAGTTGCACTGACCGCAACTTCTGGGCAGTTGTCACCTTTTCTGCCACAAAACAAACAGAGCCTTCTACAGAGCAAAGAAAAAATTGCGGGCCTTATGCTGCTGGTCTGCCCAGAAAGGCTGGGCCTATGGTTTCCCACAATCTGAAGTCTAGGCGCCAGTCTGAGTCTGGTGACAAAATAAACAAACTGCCTCCAACATATGGCCAGCAGCTGGCTGCAGGAAGACGAATAGGATCATGAATCATAAAATATTGAAAAGAAACTTGTCCATCTTTGGAAATGGCCGCGATTGCGATGCCAGATGGAGTCTCAAACCTTTGTCTGCGCCCTCCATGCGGACAAATCTGCGACGCCACACTCCCGGCTTAGCCTATATTAGACCCTGCCTCGCATGCCCTAGAACGGGGTCTCAAAACCTGTGCTTAAAGATTAGTATGATTAGTGCTGCCAAGTTTGCAAGCTTTTCGTTCGGAGCGCGATGAAGTAACACTGCAGTAGATGTGACATTTCCAGTCCTGCAATGCCACACTGTGTTGACGAAGAGGAACGCAACACCATTCCCATTTGTTCCATCTTAGTGCTGAGATGTGCTGAGGCACGTCGCAAGACCAAAATGTAGAGTTCCAGGTGCCAGGATCTGGACATCTCGCAGCCTGCCAGAGAAACACTTGAGTGATCTTGAGTGCAATTGCACGCGAGAACCCTTTGAAGAGTCCGGCTGTCTGCAATGCTCTGCTTGCTTTATTCTGTGGAAAATGTCTCCCAAGTCGCACCAGCCTTGTTCTGGTCGAAGAAGAACCCTTCCTTGGTAAATTCAAGGGAACGGAGGGACGAGCAGGGGAGCCATGCCTGCTTTATACTTAGGACAGCTTCTTCGGCAACATGTATACAACAGTAGCGTACAAATTGATAAAGTAAGCGGACGATAAAATCTGGTAAGCCTGGTGCACGGCCGTTCTTCATACCATTTCATGCCATTTCGTGATGTATTTCATACATTTTCATACCATTATAATCCATTATATACCATTGTTACTTCTCTTGTCGGGTCGTCAATTTTGACGCTTGCAGCATCTTGCAGCCCTTGCACAATGGCAGTGCTGCCACATGCTGCCACGGATCGCCCGGAGACTCGCATTGCGCGATGCCCTGGGACTCTTCTGCGCTACAGCCGCTGTAGACCTCAGGGAGGGCGTTGCACATGCGTTGCACATCCGTTGGAATATGATTATATAAATTATATATGATTGTACTGACATATACTGACTGGTACGCAATGAAAGGGCGGGAATGAGTCAAAGGAGCAGCCCTCACATGGTGATGTTTGTTTTGCTTCGCTCTCACGCATCAAAGCACAGAAACCCTGGCCATGTAACGAAGCGTCTGGCTTTCTTCCAAGCGACGGCATCCACAGTAAGAAAAAGCAAAGTCAAACGCCTGTAAATGCAAACTTTCAGGCATTGACACTTCTAAAGCCACAGCAAACATCGCACCCATCTGTCACCAAACATGACCTGTCTGCAAGCTAGGTACAACAATATGAACGTGCAAACGCGAGACATTTCGAGACTACTGCAGGTCACAGCGCGTGTCGCACACTTATTTGATTCGGTTGATTCAGTTCGGAACGTGGTCTCTCTCTCTCTCTGAGGTGATTTTGCCGACCACAGTTGTGTGATGTTTTCACTTGCTTTGCCGAGGTATGTCATGTTTTCCATCAATCTGCTCCCTTCATGACTCATCAATCGAGTGATGCCACCAGCTGATTAAAGGATTCTAAGTTCCAAGGTTTCAAACGCTGATGCAATTTCACAAGCATGAATGCTTGCAGCTGAAAAACGGCTGAAAGGCAAACAAATAGCCGCTGAATTGTGGTGAAATTCGACAGTTGTCAAAGCGTGTCGCACAAGTTTGTCCAGCTATGTAACCAGAACAATGAGCCCAGTGGAGCTAGTTCCGCAAGAAAACTCCTCCGTGGTCAGCAGCTTTTTAAGATGACTCAGAGGTTGTGCTGACTCGTCAACCTCAGCGAACAGTGTAGTCATAGTGAGATGGTTCTACCATCTCGGGCTATGAATGCCAAAGTAGAAAGAGGGGTTGCAGAAAGCCCAAATACCGCAAGCAATGTGCAAAGCAGAAATGTCTAAAGTTCATGTAATTTAATCGTATAAATCGATTTAAAATGATTCAAATATCATGTTTCACGATTTCACTCCTTTTTTGAGTGCGGTGAAGCTCCAGCTCAATGCCTCCGAATGGGCATGTGAGGTGACTGTGACTGTCACTCCGACTGTCTAGGCAAGCTGGCAAGCGAATTAAATCAATTGAATGAATTGAACACCGCAGGTGCTGAATGACGGCTGAATGCTGACAAATTTTGCAACTATGCACTACAGTATGTATGGACACTCAGAATCGTCCGAATGCTCCAGAGCTTCATCAGCTTACCACCTGAACAAGAAACAGGAGAAACACTTCAACGTGCCAGACTTGCCACAGCAAATTCAGGGCAAAAGCTCCAGTACCGTTAGTAGCACACTGGAAGTCCCAGCCTGTGCCATTGGTGGTCGCTTCAGCCTAGAAAGGCCATTCTGATCTTCCTCTCCAAAATAATTTTCATAAACTCCAATCCCTGAACTATTGTCTCGTTTGTCTCCATAGGAATTTCAATTTGATAGCCAATGAAATCAATTGACCGAAGGGGCCTTCCAGGGGCACACCCATTCCATCGACTGAGGCTATTGGTCTTGCAGAGTCTAGCCAAAATTAGCCGAATCAAAATACGTCAATCAAGAGCTACTGAGTGCAGCTACTGAGTGCACTGTGGAGCGTCCTTTGAACACTAAGGGATCAGCGTGGCACTACCCACGGTGTAGCGCATGGGCAGCAGCACAGGCAACGCAGCAACCTGACAGGCAGTAGAACGCAGGTTTTCTGCTTGGTGTCTCGTTGGGGAGTTGCCCGCAGCTCTTTGCAATATGGCTAACTAGGATCTTCAAGGACCTTGAAAGGGACCTTAGATCTTGTAGCATTGTATATATTGTATATAGCATTGTTTGCCAGGTCTCTTGAACTTGAACTGCCTTGACATGTTGAATATTGTTGAATCATGTTGATATGGTCCATAGGACATAGGATATGCTACGAAGTACTGCCAAAGCAACTGAAGGTGCTGCATGCGGCTGCCAGCTGCGGCTCCGCTGCAGAGAGTCATGATGACCATCAGCGGGAAGCCTCGATTTCCGGAATTTCCGCAGGGAATGTTGGTTCACAAGCACTGCTATGAAGCCCCGTGATCTTTTCTGAAAGCCATGGGAGTGGATCATAAAGGGCAAAACCGACCGCACAAAGCAACCATGTTGTCTCTTTATGTCTTTTTGTCTTTTTACAGTCCATTTCATTTGGCATCTTGATGATCTCGATGATCTTGATGATGTTGATGTGTTTATTTTGTGGCTTGATTGTTAGCATTGTTAGACTGTGAAGTTTACAAAGGTTTAAAGTTTAAAGATATCATGAAATATCTGCTTCCGGAACATCGGGCTAGACTCTCAGCATGCTTCCTAGGTTTGACACTAAGTGTACTAGGTCAACTGCGGAGGCTGATACGAATGGTGCGTGGTCGATCTCGGTGTAACAGCCACCTCCCGCAAGCCCAGCTCGGGACTTCCCCTTTGACCCTCTTGGAAGCCAAAGAGAATGCTAAGAGGTTGCACTCCGAAAATGTAATAGCCAAATCCTCGACCGTTTATCTCCCCAAATTAATCCAAATGAATCAGTCGACTAAATCACTTGAAATACACCTGTCGAAGCTGGCCTGAGCACAGCTCTGGTTAGATCGCGGTGTTGACACCGGCGTAGTTGATGCCATTCTCACCTGCGATGGGTTTTGGGTCTTGTGGATTGCACTGGGAGTCTGGATAACGAGGCATGATCAGCGCACCAGGAGTCAAAGAGACTCTTTACAAAATATTTCGCTTCAGAATTCGCTCTGCGTTTCAAGGGATTCAGGTTGCATGTACAGCATTGTACAGCATCGTGATCATGCTGCATCCTTTGCTACGAGGCACAGTCGAACAAGATTCGTAGGTGTCGAGTATTGCTACAGTGTTAACAGTGTCGAACATGTGCAGGTTTGATACTGCAACATAGTGCAACATAGTGCAACATAGTGCAACATCCCGCCTGCACACGCCTGCTCCTGGTAAACACAAGCGATCACCGCGTGTGACAAATAAAGATTTTCTGACATGTTCTGAAGCCTCACCCACTGACACAGTCCATGGTTCAGCCCAGTTGGTCCCAGCCCACGGCACCCTGTCAAAGCTGTGGCGGCAGAGGTCCAGCGCACTGCAGGAAGAGCAGCGATGCTGCGAGCCTGTGGGCTACGTTCACTTACCGAATCTTATATAATTATATATAATATTATATATAATTACACTCGATGTAACTCGGCCAGCACTGCTAAAGTCTTGTTGTCTGGCGATACTCAATGACATCATGCAGCAATGCTTTTTGCAGTTTGCTGTTCAAAACGTTTCGCGTGCTCCTCTGCCAAAACAGGAGCAGACCGCGTTGAACAGGGCGATCCAAGGTCCTTGGCCTCATTGAAGGGCAGCATGTTTGACGGCATGATGCTACATATGTACTACATAATCACAAAATGTACAAATTCTTACAACATATGCTACACATTTCATCAGGCTTCAGCTTTCAACAAGACATGCCATGCCTCTTTGAATATCTTAAATTTACTTTTTCGAGTTACTTTAGATCACTTTAGATCCACTTGTGACTCGCTCTCTTTCCCCATCGCACCACAATGAAGCTGTCCACTTTGCTTTGTTTTCCAGGCTTTAGTGGCACTGTGATGCACTGTGCGTTCACAAGCCAGAAAGTACGCGCCAAACGAGTCAAACTCTCCCAACCGATGCAGAGTCTACTCGATACTCAGACTCTCCCAAAAAAAACGGCCTGATGCAAACTTCGAGATGAGCCAGCTGCAGACAACGCTGGCCTTGCAATTGAGACCTGAAAGTGCCGCACTGACGGCAACCTATTAAAAAGGAAATTTTGTGAAGTCAACAACAGCTCTCTCTGAGGGTTCTCATTGCTACATGCTACATAGTGCCACCATTTGTCATGGCACGTCATAGCACTATGATACGCCACGGCTGCTCGCATTTGTGCTTCCCAAGTCCTGCCTGCGATGCGCCAAGACCTACCTCGGCTCAAGCGAAGTTGACAAATTGATAGAAATTGAGTCTTGACAAATAGATACATGATATATCATGATATATCATGATATATGTGCTACATCGTGCTACCTGGTCACCTTGACACTTCACACGACTTGACAAAGCTTAACGGTTCCAACATGTTTCAACTGGCCAGTCCTTCACTGGCGGGGTGCCCAAAGCCTGCAACTCAAGAGTGCAAAAAATCACTTGGAACCACACAGAAACTGTGAGCTGAATGGGGTGGACGGGCTTGACTTAAAGCATGTTGAATTGTGGCTCTAACACTTTAAGCATATTTAACCATCTTTAACCAGCATATCAGATAAACCTTGAGATCACGAGGAGATCGCCGGGAGTTCATGGGAAATGAAAACGTGATGGTTTCCAAGTTCGTGCCTGGCTGCGTGGAGTGCCCGGGCCCTGGTGAATGAAGAAATTCGGTAATTTCTGTCACTCTTAGGCAGCATCCATGCACATACATAGACATCAGTGCGTATGTATATGGATGTAGTGTTTACATATAGATATATATATATGTGTGTGTATACATATAATATATATATAATTTATATAATTATGTATATATATATATATATATATATGTATATGTGCAAATATAGGTAGGTGGAGAGATACATGGATACACAGACAGACAGATGGATAGGTACAGAGAATGGATAGGTACAGAGATACAGAGATGCATAGATACATACGTAGAGGAAGAGATACAAATAGAGACAGAGAGGGATAAGTAGACAGATTAAATACAAAATGATCGAAGCGTGTCATCGTGGCTTCGCAGCATGTCTGCAGACAGTCCTGAACCACGGAAACACGATGAACCTGAAAAGCGCTGGAATCTTGGATGTTTGAACGCTCAACGCTTAAGTGGACGTGGATGTGCCAGGACTTGCAAAACCAACATGCGAACCTTTTCCTACAATCCTGGTTCTTGCCAGTTTGTCGCTAGTGCAAAAGAGACAGCAGCATAAGCCACCAGATTGCCCACAAACAGAATTTCAAGGCAAGCAAACCCTAGCAGCCTATCCCGGCTATCCCTCCAAATGCGTGCCGAAACCATGAAGATACAAGCCTGCACAGGCTGCACAACTTGTCGAGTCGGGACTTGCACGACCTCAGTCGTGTGGCACGCAGTGATCAGTCTATGTCTTCTCTCTATCTCTATCTCCCTCTCTCTCTCTCTCTCTCTCTTCGTGTTCTGGTGAAGCTGCCGCTTTTAAGCTGTTTGAACTAAACTACCTGTGTGAGTGTGAATGCTTCAGTTTTACGGATACCATTGGCTGTTCCCCAATTACGAGTACAAGCCGTTTCAAGTCGCACTTTTCAGTACAAGATGCGGAGATCCGTGACGGCTGGGTCAACCGAGCCGGCCGAGCCTTGCATTTTTGAATGAACGACGGAAACTGCATCCGTCATCACCAAATCATCAATGCATCATATGCACTACCAGCCACTACCAAATGATTGACACACTAAATGAACTCACAATTATATGAACATTTTCAAAGTGCATCTGTGGCGGAACATATGTCAAACAATGAACAACAGAACGTGAATGTGGCTGAAAATGTTTAAGAACTCAAGTTGAAACAAAATGCATCCAGAATTGTCCAGCCTGCACGCGGGCCTCGTGCACCACCTGCCCTGACCTAGCCTCCGCTTCGATAGACTCACCATCGGAGCCCTGGCACAAATACTGTTCGGATGCAGAGACGGTTCACTAGTCTCAGAAGTCTCATAGCATCTCATAACTATATATATAATTCAACAGAATTCAGGGGTTCGGTCCAGTTGTTGGTTGATGGTTGTTGTGCTTCCAACTTCTCATCCAAGAATAGCGAGTTAGCAAGCCCATCTTTTCTCCTTTCTCAAGAAACCTCAACGGCTTCTTGATACCTTTGTCCAAAGCACAATTGCCGTGTTGAAATGGTTGCCCAAATTTTCTTCCCGAAAGCCTGGCTTGAGAAGGATGCGTCAAGATCCGTTGCGCAAGTCATAACCTGCAGACATAATCAGTATGTCAGCTGAGAATGCAAAAGAAGCAGGACAAAGAGCACCGTTGGCCCAGAAGCAGCAAGATGTCCCTATCTTGCTGTAGCATTGGTGTTGCGATCAATCATTCTCTGAGACTCATACCAAGTAACTTTAAAGCAGTCAAGGTGTTTTCCATATTTTACCCTACTTCCAGATAAAAGTGATAAAATCCGATCAATCACGTCCTATTCACTTGTGACTTGAGCAATTAGCCTCGGCACAGGCACATTTCTCAGTGTGGCAAACAGCCCATACCTTGTGTCAAAGCTCACTTTCACCAAATCCCAAAGATTCAAAAAGCAACAACATGACACTACCACAGTTTTGAATTTTGGCGGAAGCTTTGGAGCAGAAAGAAAGGTTCAGGTTTGCGCCCAGATACACCAGGGTTGCAGCATACCACACGCCGTGGCCGAGGCTTTGCCTGCCACCGGTAGGTTTATGGCAATGTGTTTTGATCCTTCTGGGGCTTCTGTCCAAGGATTGCTCAGAGTTGTCAGGGATTCAAGAAACTGGAAGGTGCTTTTTTTTGTCAGGGCCTCTCTATGTGATTGGAAGAATCAACAACTTTGAAGGACTTGGAAGGATCTTCACCGATCTACATCCATCTTCACCCCGCCTGCAGGGCCAGCAAGTATTCAATGGCAGAATCCTGTGCTCGCACCATGGCCCTCGCAGTTCTTTGAGGCTATCGCAACGGCATGAATGTCTCAAGGAGGCACAGGCTCCAAATGCAACGGAATCAAAAATAAGAACAACAACCAGTTGCAAAAACGGAACATGCGTGTTGTCTTTCCCAGCCCAACCAACGAAGCTCGGTTCTGGTCTGGTTTGTCAAGGACTGTTGCAAGTTGTGAATTGCAAGTCGTTGCGTGCTGGAATGTTACGTAAGGTGCCACTGGCTTTTTGCGCATCGCCAACACTCGCCTGCTGGCCTTTTGTCCATCTCCGGGGCTTTGAGATGCCACCCAGGCTTCTACCAAGACTCGCAGATACTGATAATGGTTCAATTTCACAGATTTCACAGAGCTCAATTCTGAGCTCATCAGGGCTTTCTACAAAACGTCCCAGCTCTCAATAGCCTCAGCAGGGTCAACCGTTCAACTGTCCAAGTCCAGTTGCCCAATCTCTAACATCATTCCACGCTCAAATTCAACAAAATGCCAGCAATATGCCCAAGGTTTCCAAGTGTTTTAATAAGGTCCTTGCTTTTGCAGCCTCCCTTGTAATCGCCCTTGCCAAAGTTGCTCTTTCCAAATCCTTTGTCAAAGCCCTTATCGCCTTTCTTGCCTACACGAGTGCCAAAATGCAATGAAGCATAGCTCAGCCATCTCTTGCCAACTTTGACCATTCCGGCCTTTGTCAAAGCCCTTTTTGCCGCTATCTTTTCCGTAGCCTGCGCATAAACCATAAGTTTATCACATAAGTATATTCTGCATTCTCCAGCATTCATAAGGGATATGGGAATTGAAGGCAAGTAGTCTTGGAACGGAGAGGCTCCGCCGAGAACAGAACGCAAGGATCAAATGCTTTCAAAATGTGGCAGAGAGTCAGACTCAATGTGTACTAAGGTCAGACTCAATCCGACAACTTGTAGCATCTCCAGCATTAAATCATTAAGGAAGCGCACCTTTGAAGCCCTGGCCATAACTTTGGCCGTAGCCTTGGCCGTAGCCTTGGCTGTAGCCTTGGCTGTAACCTGGAGTGTAGCCTTTGTATCCACCTTTGTCTCCTTTGTAGCCTGTGACAAAAACGCTTGTAGCAAAAGAGTGTCACACCAAACAACCCAACATTCGACAGAGACTGAAGCAAGGCGTTCTTGCAGTGCCTTTGTAGTCACCTTTGTATCCTGAAGGCGGCATCTGAAACTTTAATCTATATACAGTACATGAACCGTCTCGCATATACTTGTCTCAAACTCGCATTGACTTTGTCTCAAAGCCCATGCCAAGCTTGAACATTAGCCTGCCACATAGACTATAAATGCATGCAGCCAGGGTACAAATATGAAAATGTTTTGATATGTTTTGGACCCGAGGGGTGTCATGAACAAAGATGTGAGCGATGGATGACATAAAAGCCGGGAGATGACCAAGAACACAACTCCATCTACAAGTACCATATACGTAATGTACATCAACATGTATAATTATATATATATATACATCCACGGATTTCCATAGATTGCCAATCTATTGCCATAGATCAAAAGTCATCGGAGCTTCAGGTAAGCTCAGGCCATGCTCAGGCCATGCTCAGGCCTCCCATCTGTGGAGGTGGTGGAGGCATGGTCGTATGCTCCACATGGAGCTTAGCAGTGTCGTCACCTGACAGCGTGCCGCAAAACGCCTGTGACCTCGCCCAGCTGCTAGATACTGCATTGATGTTTGAGGATCTGTTGAGGATCTGCCTGAATCGATCTTGGCTTGCCTGTCTCTTCTTGCAGCCTGCCACCAGCATAGCATGAGAGCTCTGCTGGATTCTGTGAGCCTATTTTTGGATTTGCTTTCGGATGTGCTTTCTATATCTTTCTATATCTTTCCATATCTTTCTATATCTTTCTATATCTTTCTACTGCTTCGACCCTTCTTGCAACCCATTCCATCACCGGGTCGACCAGTTGGTTGAATAATGATTGCAAGAGTTTGTCCAAACAGCCTCAGTCAGCTTAACGAGGAGGCTGAAATCAAGGTCCTCGCAGAACATCTCTCAAGCTGTCAGTTACTGTAAGTCACATAATCATGGAGTCAATATGAGTCAAGTCAATTCTGTCAGAAGCTGATCTGCATCTGCCAAGCCGTCTCCATTCTTATTGGCAAGGCTGATTGTTTTCCATGCCAGAGCACCACAGCCCGGTTCTGTGACACCGCTCATGGCCTCCCCGTACTTCGACTCAAGGACCAATTCAGAGTTGAAAGACATGGTGTCCTTGGAACGAAAGTTCCACCAAGACACCATTTGGACCAAAAGCAAAATTGTCTCAGAATTGTCTCTTATGCATTCTTATGCCACTTTCTATGCAGTGTCGCAATGTCCCCGGTCCTTCAGCAACTTCTCGACAAGCTCCGTGTTGGTCTCCATTCCGTACTGCTTTGGAACCAACTGTTTCCTGAGAGTGCGAACATCTGCGCATATTTTTGGTGAATATGACAGAGGGAGCCCGCAGTGTAGAAAATTTGGCTTGGAGCATTTCCAAAAAAGCAAGGAGCTTGAAGTACTTCTGATAGTAGAAGGTCAGATTTGTGTCATGGATGCCCACTCCTCAGCTGGCCAGTAAAGATTGCCCTTGAAAACACCAAGTGTGACCAACCGCTCAAAGAGTACAAACGGGCACCACGAAATGGCATGAAATGGCTGCATGCTACTGCATTCACTGAAAAGCCACCATGTATACTATAGAATAGTCATTCGGAATAGTCTCAATACCGCAACAGACTCCTCAATTTTCTGCCATGCAACTTTCAGCATCTCCGGCATCCTTTGGAAAAGCGTTGGCCATCAAATACAACTCCGCACGCCTCGGGAAACATTGTACACTGATTTGCACAGGGTGCAGGTTGCACTGTGCCCCGGGTGCCATGTTGCGGGGAACACAAGGCAGGAACGGTGAGTCAAAGGTCGAAAATAATGTGTATAGAGTTATTGATCTGATATTGATCTGTATCTGTATCGATATCTATATATCTATATCCCTGTGCCCGTGCGTGTGCCGTTTCATCATCAATTTCTGTAGTGCAGCTCAATTCAGGATTTGTTCCAAGCAGCAAGTTCAAAAGCACCCAGTCCTGCCCAAGAGAGTCGAGACGGGGACACGTAAATTGATCTCATCTTCACAAGGTTTTGGAAGCTGCACAAAGGCCTGTGCGCTTCCATTAAGCCACTGACCCAACCCCCTTGCCGACCGTTGCCATCTCACAATCCCTATCGAATGTTATCGATGGGAGTCTCAAATTCCAATTTTCGTGTTTGTCGGTACAACTTCTTTTTCGTCCAGGATCATATGATGCCTGATGGATCCTGGTGGTATATTTTTACTCTCACTTTTTGGCTGTTCATACCACGGTCTTTGGCCGGCAGGTTGCAGTCCCACCAATACAGTCACGGGTGCTGTAGTGCTGAATCCGATTGGGAATCGCTTTGTCCCATTTTTGTCTCACATATGTTCTTTTTCCCTGAACTTTTGTTTGTCCAATCTGATCCTCAAAGGCAAACTGGATAAACAAAGGCTTCTCGTTGACATTGTAGATATCTTCGACTGCCATGACGTCGACCTGAACAGCGGACACACTCGAGTTGGGAGAAGGTGTTCGTCCGAGAAATCTTCGAGTATGCTTGCCAACTTTTCTGTGGTACAGCAATGTTCTGCTGATCTCTGCGATTCACGGAGTGCATTTGTGGCCAGCAAAAGGACAAGTACAGTGTGTCCCTGTGAAGAATACAAAAAAAATGTTGCACTTTGCTAGTGTGGAGCCTCTGCAGGAGGTTTAGTTTCAACCTGCACCAAGCTAGCCGAGCGCTCATAATGCAGGACTGCTCTTTCCGAGGATTTTGTGTTTGCACTACTGTCAACAAACAAAGGCAAAAAAAAACATGTAAATACTGGTCCCCTCTTTGTGGTGCCTTTGGCTCTTCCTTCGGTGCTTCCTCTTTCGGTGCTTCCTCCTTCAGTGCTTCCGGTTCTGCCTTTGGCTCTTGGCCGCTGCCCTCAGGCTGCGGAGGGGCCTCGCCCTGACCCTCCTGGCTTGGCTGGGCCTCGGCCTGGGCCTCGGCCTGGGCTGCGGCCTGGGCTGCGGCCTGGGCTGCCTCTGCCGTTGCCAGAGCAGCTGCTTGAGCTGCGGCCAGCGCTTCTGCTGCCACCTGCACCGCACAGCCACACAGCACAACGGCTCGGCAACTGCGAAGCTCAGCGGTGCTGCAACTTGGCATCGATGAAACATCATCAAACGAGTCAGCAGAAGAAGGGCCTCCTCCTGTGGGGGCAGCGGTGGCCGCATTGCGTACCTCCAGCCATGGCAAAGTCTTGGAACGCAGAAACGATTCTCTATAACCGTCACAAGAAAACACACGCCTTCACCAATGTAACCAGTGTCGGAAGCAATACTGGGGTTCGCACTCTTTTTGTCTGCTCTTCCACCCTTCCAGCAGTCCGTGGAATTCTGCTGACTTGGTTTTGAACCTCACAATGCACGGCTTGAGCCCAAACAAAATCTGCAACATGTACAGGAACATAATCAACTGCATTTAACAAGCAAATAAACGGACAAGAACAGATTGTAGAATGGATGGGCAGGTAGACTGGTCAACAAGACCATCATTACACATGGACTGTGATTTGGGTACAATACATATACACTATATATATATATATGTGTGTGTGCGCGTGTGGGATTATATAAGGAAGACAATCTAGTGATGAAAGATGATGACTGCTTATATATGGAGGTACAATCAAATTTCATCTATATCATCTATTAACTTGAGAGGGAAGGGTGAAAGATCGAAAGGTAGGCGTGGGTTGGAACAGGAGAAGAGAGCAAGGGAACGAGGCATATCCGCTGCGGACGGACGTGGGTGGAGTTGGGGCGGATATCGAAAAAAGTCTTCTGGGCTTGGACTCGAGGGCGGGTACCAAAAAGGTAGGTTTCAGGGAGGGGGGACACGACACACACACAGACACACAGACATATATATATAAATACATACATATAGTTAGATATATGTATAAATATCAGGTTATGGGGTTTGCGAGGCAACGTGTAACTGGGGGCAGCACATTGTTGCAACGCGGATGGGGTTGATTCTGGTGTGTACATGTGTAGAACAGTGTGGGATTCACAAACGTGGTGTTTCGACCCCAGCATGTACCCAAAGCAACTGACTTAGGGCTATCCTGGTGCTGGAATCTTGGTGCAAAAAGTGGGCCCGCGGGGTGACTTCTTGCAAACGCGGCTTTAGAGGCGGACCTTGGGGGAATCGAAGGGGGGGGTTCAATATAGTTGTGATAATTATGTTCTAGTTATTATAGTAATTCTAGTCATTATAGGTGTTCTAGTTATTATACATGATAACTATATATATACGAATATACATATATATGAAACATATTGAAATGTCATTAGCGAAGTCTTTTGGTTGAAGAGAATATCTTGGAGGAACCCTTGCGGAAAATCCACCAAATGATCTAGATATGCTGAGCAAGGGGCAGCGATTATGCTTCGGCAACCACTAGCCAAAGCGCAATATCCCACAATTGCTGGGTAGAGTATGCATATATATATATACGAATCTATATGTATATTGAGATTATTTAGTATATATATATCATGGAATTATTATGTGTATATAAATATATATATATAGATACATATCTTTAACTATATTGTCGAAGGAAGTTGAGAAGCTAAACTTCCGACAATATGGACAGATGAAAAGCAGAGCAGGGCAGAGGCAGAGAGAAGAGAAAGTTCAGAAGAGAAAGAGTCAGAAGAAAGAAGATGCAGATGCGCGAAAAGGTAGGAAAAGTCGCGATTCACTGTGTTTTTCCAATGATTTGTGGTTCCGGAGGGTCGAAAGTAGGCTCGCTAAAGCGGCGGGTGCGGAGACATATGGGGAGATGAGACATGAAAAATTGCACGCCGTTGTGGCGCGAAGCACATTTCCAAGTCAAAATGCACAAAACACCAGAGGATCGGACCACTTTTGGCGCTTCAGATGTCGAAAAAGTGCACGCCGTTGTGGCGCGAAGCACATCCCCAAGTCAAAATAAAATGTACAAAACACACCAGGGTCTGACCACTTTTGGAAGTTGCGATGTCGAAAAAGTGCACACCGTTGTGGCGCGAAGCACATGTCCAAGTCAAAATGTAGAAAACACACCAAATGCGGACCACTTTTGGCACTTAAGATGTCGAAAAAGTGCACGCCGTTGTGGCGCGAAGCACATTTCCAAGTCAAAATGTTAAAAACACTAGGGGTTCGGACCACTTTTGGAGGCTCAGAGGTCGAGGTTCGAAAAAGTGCACGCCGTTGTGGCACGAAGCACATTTCGAAGTCAAAATGTGCAAAACACCAGGGGTTCGAACCACTTTTGGAGGCTCAGAGGTCGAGTTTCGAAAAAGAGCACGCCGCTGTGGCGCGAAGCACATTTCGAAGTCAAAATGTACAAACCACACCATGTTCGGACCACTTTTGGAGGCTGGGATGTCGAGTTTCGAAAAAGTGCACGCCGTTGTGGCGCG